CATATATCCAATCCTGAACCTCCTTTAAATCCCTTGTGGAAATATTATATGGTCCAGAAGACTTATTGTTCTTTAAACTTCCCAATTGTTTCTTAACCAGCTCAGAATTAATGCAGTCATCTTGTTCAATCTTGTATTCATCTATCAACTGTTCAAGATGTGGAATACTGCTTAAATCTTCACTAGTAAAAACCGAATAAAAGGCAAAATTTAATAACCCAGCCAACTTGTAATTATCAGATACGAGCCTTCCTTTATCATCCCTCAAGAGTCCTACCTCCATCTTAACATTCTGTACATCTATAATGTATTTAAAGAAATCCTTACTGTTAAATTTTACCTTTTTAGCCAACCTTTTCCATACATCCTTTCTGATGTCCTAATTTCCTATTTGACTAGTTTTCTTGTTTTTCTATAAGCTTCTAAATCTCCCATCATACAAGTAAATTAAAATTTCTTAAATCAATTAAGACAAGAAGCTCATCATCCAACTTACATCAATCAAGTCAAGAAGCTAACGATCAAATTTGAATCAATCTAATCACAGAGCATAATATTAAACATAAATCAATCTAATCACAGAGCATAATATTAGGAATAAATCAATCTAATCAAGAAGCTCAAGATCAAACTTGAATCAATCTAATCAGGAAGCTCAAGATCAAACTTACATCAATCAAATCAGGAAGCTCATCAACATAATACTTATGAACTGCTGTATTGGCAGCTTCCATGCTCAGCAAGTAATCATTTTGAGCCTTCATGGATTTGAGCTTTGCATCAAAATACTTGGACTCTCTCTGAAATTGATTGTTAAATGGTATATAAAATACTATTAGTTTGTCACATAATGAAATATGTTATGTATTACACTATACAGCTTATTCTTCAAAACTTTCTTTGTGAGGTAGGTTATACATTGTGTAACTTAGTCTGTAGTCTATTAGTTTCTCAAAGAGGTACATATGTTATATGGAATATTCTGTAATTTTTATGTTGTCTCTCAGTATCCATGTGCATGGGTTACATGGTTAATTATATCGTTCAGTTTATATTTTGTTAATATCCTATACTGGTACCTGAGTTAAGTAGTTCATTATGTAGCTTAGTTGATAGTCTCTCAGTAAATTACTTTGGGTAAATTACTACATAAATCCATAACATCAGACATTCCTAATTGTTGGCCACAACAAAACATTAACAAATATTTATTTTTAAATTACTTATAAAATTGCTACTATATTTTAATGAAACCAGTAATTCCCTTTCCCCATCTGGTAAAATTGCTTAGTAACTCAGGTGAGTTGTGAACTGGAAAGTTTGCTCTACTGGCATATGGGTCATGTAGGATGTTTTGGAAATTACACTTTATGATAGTATCCTTTTCATGTTATTTTCTGAATACATTTAAACAATTTCTATTAATTTGACATATGTAATGCCACTTGTTTAATTGTAAAAAACAATGAATTATGATTATTAGCAATTAAAAGCAAAGTATAAAAATTCATATTTCAAATATCCTTTTTACAACACTCGTTGAATGATAGAACTGTAAATATAGTCCTGCTATTGTGGCTTATTTTTTGCATTAACCAATACTAAACTATACAGTGTTATGTAGATGCCACCTTCTGAAGGTCTTTTATTATTAGACGATATTTCTTCAGTTGCTGAAGCTTCTCAACACAAGTTGATTGTTCTAGTTTGGTCTTTTGAGAATTTAGAAGTCTAAGTTTACTTTCCACCTGCTTTTGGTCAGAATGATAAGATTGGTAGGTCTTCATGCTCTGCAAAAATAATGATAATAATTACTTCCCACAAAAATATGAAAAGAAACAACAAATCAATAACAAAATAAACTAGATTAAAAGTTTTTGTAGAATTTGTTTGCTTGGAGGGTAGGAGTGATGAAGGCTTCAGCAGAACACAGTGGCCCCCTTTTGTACTCCCTTCCTGGCTTGTAAAGTCCCTTGAAAAATCCTAATAGTATAATACAAAAGAAAACAAAAACTACACCAAACTGTCCATTTACAAAGTCTTTTGTTGTTTTCTCTTCTAAAGCTGATGGTATACAGGTAAGGTGTCTTATCACTGGCCATACTGTTGCTGGGAGAGGTTTTTTTAGATGGATGGCTTGGTAAATAAACTGGTGGATTCAACCTTGATGAAGTAGTCTCAACAGTAACTCTGGACTCCTTAGCAGGTTGAGGTTCTGTTGACAAGTTCTTATCTGGACAACATACTTCCAAATATAGTCATGATAGACTACCTTTGGCTAGGATCTCCTATCCTTTAGATTCTCTAAACCATATCAGTAATTCTTTTTTAGAACAGCATATGACTCCTCCCAGCGCCTGCTTAATTTCTGAGTTCACTCTTTCTTATGGTGAGGATTGTATAACCACACCATCAAATCGATGGAATCCAGTCTTATCGGCACTAAAAATTATAGTTATCATTCATCTTATTCCAAGCTGATTTAAGTCTTTCATGGGTGAAAATCATGTACATCTTTATTCTATATGTGAACGAATATTCTAATCATCCACTTTTCAGAACATGCCAAAGTATTTGGTTCCACTGTGTATTTCACTTCTTAGTGATGCAATGACCACTGTCCCTGTTTCCACTGGAAGTTCAACCTCTGATATAGTAAGTATCATGTATTACAAAAGGGTTTCTTGATTACTGACTGTGAAGCTAACTGAAGCTAGTGTTACGACAGCGGGGGTCACGTGACGATTATTCTAGAAGATTCGCGAAAATGCTAGTGTGTTACGACAGCGGAAGTCAAGTGACGCTGGTAGCATGTGTTGAGAGCCTAGAAGATTCTAGAAGTGGTGGTATTATCGTATATAAGTGCGCTAGACAGAGAGAGAGGTGGGCGAGAGAAAGAGAGAGAGTGGGGAACCAAGGACAATTGTTACGGTCGGCGGGAACCGAGGATAGCAGATACAGAGATCGGAACTATAGTTGCTGACAGGCGGAGACGGATAATTGAGTCAAGCGCGGTAGAAAGTGAGTGAATTGTTGTGAACTATAGTGTGTGTAACTGTGAAAATTAAGTGTATTGCAAAGTTGTATTGAGGAAGAATAAACAAGTTTTATTTAAGAAAGGACTTGTATTGTTGAAAAATTAACAAACAAACATACAGAGACGTAGCACTAGCTTAACCTCACATTCATTTGTTATCAAAAAGTCAGTTCCTATGATGCACTCTTCTTCAATGTCAATTATCCACATATCATGAGGCATAGAGAAGCTTCCTACGGTAATGGTAACTTCCAACTTTCCTTTTGATGAAACTGTGTGTCCACCTGTTGTTTTCATCAATCTCTTTTCTTTCATCTCTGGAGGCAATTTCCTACTTTTCATCACCAAACTGTGTAGAACAACAGTAGCTGTAAAACCAATGTCAATCACCATTCTGCAAAATTCGTCACTGATAAACCATTGGATTGGTGAATGATTTTCTGCAAATAATGAAGTTATTTTCTTTTTTGGTGTAGATTAAGAATTTCCAGTTGTTGATTCCTTAGTCTTGGTTATATTTCCCACAATTATAAAAGTTCCCTCTTTCCAGTATTCTCTGTGAGGAGCTCTTACTCCATGTAAGCCTTTGTCATTAATTCCTGGCAATAAGTCCTTTCAAATTACACTTGAAACACCTACTGTCTTGTGTTCTGTTTAAATAGTTGTCTGATAAATTCTATCAGTTCTACACTATCTTCAGGGGAATGTGATATTTAAATACTATAAGATTGAGTATTTCTTAGTTTCTAGATGGCCCCGTTAGTAGTTTATTTGCAGTTGCAGTGCTTCCTTTAGGGATGGACACCTACTTTGTTTTAGCCTAATCCTCATTTGCTAGTTTGTTGTGGCATTTATAAACTGTTCATGTGCCAACAAATCCAACCCTTCATGAGGAATGTCTGGGTAAAATAATTATGTGAACCTTTCCAATTCTTAAGCATGTTTGGCTTATGTCTCCTCTACCCTGATATTCTGTTTTAGAATTTTGCTCTGGATATTTCTTTCTGGTGTGACACCCCACCTGTTGGATAAAGTGGCTACCAATGATTGATAGTTGTGAAGACTCTCAGTTGGAAGGTTACTTAATACAAAGCTGGTCCTTTTAAACGGGCAGCAAGATAGAATGCTTAATGGAAATGATTTCAAACTGAGCTTGCTATGAGTCCAATGATACCTTCCCATTATAGCCTGTTGGTTTTTCGATTGGCTAATGTTGAATTGGACAATTAAATTCTGGAAATAGATTTGGTAGTGTCATGGCTGGAGTAGTTCATGAAAGCCTTTCAGTAACAGATGATACAGCAATTGTGGTAGTAGGTGTAAACCAAATAAATACTCCTGTTCCATACTTAGAAATAGATGTGTTTTTGGTTGGAACTTGAAATGATGCAGGTGTGGCTAGTGGTTTAATTGTTGCTTTTAATAACTCATTTTCCAGGTGTCTTATTTCATCACTGATGTTCTTTCTTACTTAATGATGTCTTTCTTTACTTTTCTTAAAATTTTGACTGCATTGATGTTCTTTGTACTTCTTCAATATTGTCATTATAACCTCTCCATACTTCTTCAATCTTTTTTTATTTCACTCAATGTCTCCAATAGTTTAATCAATATTATTTTCAATTATATTGATTTTTATGTTAAATTCTTCATTAAATAGTATGTCTCTTTTATGTAACTATTCTCTTAAATTCCTGTCAGGTTCTTTTAATTTTCTGTCACTTTCTTCATAATCATTTTTCTTTGCTTTTAATTTCTTTTTCATTTCTTTAATTCTCTGTCTTGTTTCTCTTGCTCTTGTCTTAATAACTTCACTGTCCAAAGTAACTGTTGAATCTTATTACTTAATCTCATTGTCACCATCCTCAACAGTTGATATTCTATTTCAAGTATATTCCAAGTTCTATTCTGTTTTCACTTAAATAAATCTCCCCTCCTGACACTAAATGTTGTGAAATAGTTCTTATTTTGTGGGTTACTTTGAATTATCAGATGTAAAAATTTCTAGGGCTAATATGAAATTAATGTCACATTACATCATCAAAAACCCACACCTCGTGCTAGCTTACAAATAAATTACAGCTTCAAAAATATATACTGTTACGTCTCCGTTCGTTAGTTAATTTTCCGTAAATTCGGTCCGACGAAACTTTAGCGACACAAGTCCTTTCTTAAATAAAACTGGTTTATTCTTTCTGAATAGAACTTTGCGATACACTTAATTTCAACAGTCGCGCTATAACAAACGCTATAATTCTCAACGAACGTCTCACGTGCTCGACTTTAACAATACTCAGTTCAGTTACACATATTGTTCCGTTACGTTGTGACCGTCTTATATATACCAGACTACCCCCAATTTAGTAGTCTCCCGACAATTCACGAAGGAACAGGATATTTCTAGAAGGAGGTGGCGTGATACTAATCACGTGACCTCGCTGACGCAACAATACCTTAAACATTAATGATTAATTATAATGTGAAATAACCTTTAGAACTTCTAAAGTTATTTTAAGAATATCCAAGTCTGAAAAGTTTTCAAAATAAAAATACTTAAGAAAGAAACGTGACTTAGCTAAGTATAGTTTCTAAAATAAACAAACAGTTATCATTTAACATACCTAGAAACATCTAAGAAAAATCAGAACATATGACTATGGTAAAAATATAACTTACTGTGTGCAGTTCATTCAAAATTTTTAACAGCTCTGCTTGACATTCTAAATCCACTTCTCGACACTGGAAAAACAAAATATCTTTAACTAAACAACTTACAGTGGAAATTAAGAAAATAAACTTACAGATGATAAGCTAATTATCTACACTTCTGTACCGAGTAAAATTAGATACTGAATAATTTGATGGAAATGAAACATTAGATATATCTCCATTTTAACACCTGTAACAGAGTCAGTCAGGCATCTTGATGTGGATCCAGAAGAATGAGTCATTCCTGATAGATTTGAGTTGTTTTGATTATACAAGAAAAAAAAAGGATGTTTGGCAATATTTTCGAGATTTAGCTTGCTGGACCAGACCAAAGACCTTCTGAGCCAACATTAATAAGTTAACTTGTAAGTGTAAAATAAAACAATGTAGTGATGAAACATGCTTGAAGTGTTCTAAATGTGGTTGTAAATGTGATGATTTAAGTGCAGTGATTTAGCTAAACCATGGGTGCAGATTGGATGAGGATAGAACTTATTCAAAGACATCTCAGTTGATTTGACATACCAGCTGAATTGGAGTTTCATCAACTGATTACTGCACTTACAGTGAAACATAATAAAAAAAAGGGCACAATATTATCATTATCTTCAAAACAGAGAATTGGAGGGAATCATATATAAGAAATAATTAGTTTCAAACTAATGGCACAGTAAAGATGATATTTCTAGTGATTCTCAAATTAAAAATGTCATTTATGCAATGAAGTGAGAATATAAGAAGAATGGTATAATGCCAATTACGGTGCCACCATAGTATAATCCTAATAGATTTCACCACATAATATTGTCATTAATATTTTGATTTTTTTTCTTTTTCATTTTAAAAGTTATGCCAAGCTTCTTTCACCAAGAGCTATTGAAATAACCCTAAATCATCTATTTTCAGAATGACCCCCCCCCTTCCCTATTGACCATCCTAAACTTAGTACTAAAAGATGTTGGGCTGGCTGATGTGGCAAGTGTTGAACTTCATTGTAATTTTTTGTCATTAATATATGAATATACCTTTTTTATGTGTACTTAGACTTGAGGAAAGTGAGGACGACAGTGGTTAACAAAAACTCTTTTTAAATGATTTACAATACTTAAATCATATAAACGGGTAAAAAATAAATAAGTGTAACAATTAGTTAGTCTATTACCCTTCTATACGTTTGCTGTACATCTTCTGTGATCTGTCCAAGACGACTGGCAAGGGGGTTGGCAAAAATGTCACTTAGAATAGCTCTATTTTTACTTTCTGTCCTGGTTGTGGAAAGTAGCTGTTCCCAGCATAAATTGGAACAGAACAGATGCCATTGTCCTCTTCTGAAAGAAAGAACTTTCACAGTTTTTATGCCAGCGATTATGTGAAATAATTTTTGTTTTATTTTGTGCAGAACATTAAAACAGAATAGTTACACATAATTTCATAAAGTGTCACATGATCTATGTTCACTGTGTCACGTGTGTGAGTTATGTATGTTAACACTTATTTTTTTAGGGTATGCACACATACTGAACAAGTAACAATTTCTTTATTTGCTGTTAAATAAAATGGTGCACAATAGGCTATCAGTGCTGTGCCTACCATGAGGATGAAATCTTGAATTATGACACTATAAGCTCTCAAGCTTACCGTTGAGCTATCGGATATTATACAAGTATGAAAAGAAATACACGGTTTTAGTCTTTACTAATATAAAAGATTAAGGTCTCAGGTGCAATGCAAGTTGGTTACTTTATTCAGGTTATAACATTAAGCCTTTAGTTATTCTTTTGGGTAAAAATGCAGTCTTTCAAAAACACATATTCTAAACACTGATTTCATGCAAATATTCAATATAATTCTTTAAATGTGCTCAAATGTCATTTATCTAAATCCTAAACATTCAACACAACTTTTTAAATGCACTCATAACATGTCATTTAAACAAATTACTAAACATTCAACACAACTTTATAAATGTACTAGCAACATGTCATTTAAACAAATTACTAAACATTCAACACAACTTTATAAATGTACTAGCAACATGTCATTTATGTAAATAATAAACAATCAAAAGAACTTTCTAAATTATTATTTACATGAATAACATGAGAGTACACACGCAACACAACTTACTAAATGTAATCAGAACATATTATTTATGTTTATAGCAATGATAAATATTAACTTTTACAGTGTTACATTATGTATTTACTTAAATTTATCCATAAGAACCCCTTTTTATATCTAAAAGAAGATACAACACATGGAATTTCACACATGTAACCTATGCATATGGCTGTGGTATATCCAGTAAAAGATGTGTTACGTCTCTTGTCGTTTGTTAATTTTCCGTAAGACACATCTCCTTTCTTAAATAAAACTAGTTTATTCTTTCTCAATACAACTTTGCAATACACTTAATTTCTACAGTCACGCTATAAATTAAACAAACTCTATAATTCACAATGAACGATTCACGCACTTGACTCAATTGTCGTTTCTATCTCTGTCTGCAATTCAATTCCATTGTTGGCGTCACTTCTTGGCGGTCTTATATACAAGAATACCGTACACCTAGTAAACACTCGAGGCTTCACGAAGGGACATGATTTTTCTAGAAGATCATGACGTGTTACTAGCGTCACGTGACTTCCGCTGTCATAACACTGCCCCTTCCTTAGTATTGTTCGTCCCGAACAATAGCCACTTACATTAAACCAATAAATAATTAACAATAACTTTATTAAATGTACAGAATTTACAAACACAAAATTAAAATCCAACAAAGTCTTTTAATTTTATGGGACGTATCTTCTTCTGTACTGGTTTCCGTCTCGTTGGCTTCTGCTTCATCAGGAAACATCCTATCATTGGTAACAGTCACATCAGTGGTAGTAACTTCATCAAGGGCTTCACTGTTCCCTTCTCAAAACCGAGTAGCGTTTCTTCTTTGACAGTGGCTTTTTCAGGTGACACGTATTAAGCAGCGTCATTTGTTCCATTGTTCACTTCGTTCCAACTGAAATGTCCTAGACCGTTGGCATGCACCACCTTTGGCTTACCTTGCCGACCACATTTTATTTGGAAAATCACGTCTCAGAGATGATCCACTATGTCATATGGGCCTTCCTATGGAAAAGACAACTTAGGAGACTTCCCTTTGGTCTTCCTGGGATTATACAACCACACCTTGTCTCCTGGTACAAAGCTGACTTCAGTAGATCTCTTATCATAACATAGCTTCATGGAATCAGCAGACGTTTTAAATTTGAACGCATATAATGGTGAATATCATCCATCCTTTCCGATAACACTTTCACGAACTCTGACACATTTTAAGGCAACTATTCCTAAGGTGGGCGTCCTGTTATGAGATCCATTGGCAACCGAAGTTCCCAACCAAACATCAGCTTTGCTGGAGTGTATCCAGTGGCATAATGTTCTGCTGTTCTATAGGCCATCAACAGTGGAGGGAGTAAGACATCCCAGTCATCTTGGCACTATTACAAAACTTTGCCAATTCCTGTCCCAGTGTCCAATTGTACTTTTCTACCATCCCATCGGACTGTGGGTGAAGTGGCGTTGTCCTGGTCTCGGATGCCAAACAACTGGCAGCATTCTTGGAACACAGCTGATTCGAAGTTACGGCCTTGACCTGGATGCAGTTCGTATGGCATACC